AAGAAATAGATAAAAAGTGCTCTACTGTTTCTAAAACAAATAGAACTTATTACTGTTTTATTGTTTACTTTTAGATAAATTGCATCGTTCTTCGGTTAATATTAACAAAAACCGCGTCGTTAAAAAATTGTATTAAAGCATGAACTACGTAGTACAAGATATGGAAGCACTCTAACGGAAATGCGTACTTTCTCCTAAATAAATTTTTTGTAATAACGGTGCAAGTTAACTGTATGAATACTTTTGCATGTAAAATACTAATGAAAAATAACTACTTATAATTGAATTACATGAATAGGAGAATAAGAATTCATACGAGAATCGAGTCAAGTGTTAGCACAAGTTCGAGTGCTGATTTTCGCCAACGTTTTAATTAAAATAAAAAGATAATGCTTAGTATATCAACACGATTGACGAACATAAAACAGATAAAAATCACATAAATACATCAACTTTGTCCTTGGAACATTACAGCAGAATGATGCAAGCTTCTAACCATACTCACGAATATTCCGTGCAATGCTTTTATGCCGCTAGGGCTCGTGGTTGACGTTGAAATCAGCAGCAGCACAGTGTTGTTCTGACATCAAACGAAATTGTCGTTTCGCATTAAGATTGAAACCTTTCTCGTGATAAATTTTCGTAGAATATCACTCAGGCTGCTTCGGGCCTTCGCTACAAAAAAATGCCGCGCGGTAAGCGCATCAATTATTACGCTTTTCCCTTGAGAAAAATGTCTTCTTGTCCCCACCACATTCGCTCAAATCAAAAGCGCAATATCGCTCGTTTTGACCTCGAACAATGTACTTGAATCTAATGAAATATTTTTGCAGGTAAATATGTCAGTCACAAAGGCCGGAATCGCCACTTTACCAGCCCCGAGGAATTGGAGGAGCAGCGACGTCAGGAGGAAAAAAAACTCCAATGGAGAGTCAGTATTTTTAGGTTAACCAACAGCACAACGGCTTAGATATTATTGTTAAGTACGTAAGGTCGAATTGTCCTTTGATGGTCGAGTCTGATTCCATGCACCACTTGCTGACACTTTGTTCGGAGCACAATATTCTACAGCAATGCGAATTTCATTTGCAAGGTCGAGCAGAAAACCTTCTGAAATTCTTAAGAATCGCAAAACAGAAATATGCTCTGTGTCCCTATTACTGTCGCGTTTTGTTCCTTTAAAAATCTTGCATAAATGTTACTTAGGGAATTGGTAAATAAACATTTTTTATTGCAGATCTAACGATACACATGTAAAAGTTACAATGAAATTCTCTCTTACAGAAGAATAGAGGAGAGAGCTCTAGCGAAGAAGAAGAGGAGGAAGAACCGAAAGCTTCCCTTGCTAGTGGCTCGGGTAGCGAAAGTGAAAGTGATTCAGAATCGGAGTCTAAAGGAGAGGTAGTACACATACTATAAATATTTAATAATTGCGCAACTGTATTTACATTCTAATACTTTCAGGGGAAAGCGAAAGGTGTAGAGAATTTAATTCAAGTTGAAAATCCAAATAGGGTACAAAAGAAAACAAAGAAGTTATCAACGTTAAACCAATCTTTAGACTCTGCGAAACCTGAGTTATCTCGAAGAGAAAGGTAATATTTGTTGATATTACCTGTACTGGACACGCCTAAGCGTGTCTCTCAAATATTAATAAAGCCAACCTTCTATTCAGGGAGCAACTAGAAAAACAAAGGGCTTATGCCAATTACCAGAAACTACACGCGGCGGGTAAAACCGATGAAGCTCGCGCAGATTTAGCTCGATTAGCCATAATTAAGCAGCAACGAGAGGAGGCTGCAAGGAAACGGGAACTCGAGAAAAAACAAAAAGAACTTGCTCAGCAAAAGAAGACGGAACTGACGCAGAAAGCCCTCGGCAAAAAGTCCTAGAACTTTGAAACCTATGTCAATTATAAATAATTCGCATCACTGCTATTATTACATTAACACTACAAGCAGTCCAATCTCTACTTTCATATTGATACTATTTGACTAAATCCACGCATTTTCAGCATGCGTTTGATGAAGATGTTCTTGTTTGTATAAATACAATTATTATAGTAACTAAATTAAACATAGTTTCATTCAGTTCTTTACCCGGATCCACCATTTTCCTATCGCGTGCACGACCAAGTACCTAACAGTGTAACGAATTAATCGAAGACGATGGATTTGTCGTAAAATCATCGAAAACGCTTTAACTTCTCTAATAAGATTTAATTATCAATAATTACGTAGCTATCGGTTGTAAACGAATTATACTTTTAAATGAATCAATGCATTATTACAGGATAATTGTAATTCATGCTAGGTACAAAGGTTTCTACAGATCCGCTATAGCACTATAGTACAGAGTGAAATGTAGCACGGTGGGAGACGCAGTCGAGCTGCTGCAGTCAAGCCGACACGATGTTTTGGGAGGATGTGCTTTATGTGGCGATACTTGTGTTCTGCGTATTCATTGGGGACTTTTATAAACGGATCGAGGGAGTACACGAGAAGCAATGGATATGTACACTCTTGGGATTTATATTAGCCACTACAGTTTCTGGAAGTCATGTAATTCACCCTATAATCTGTTCTGTGATTAACGCGATTATTATAACCAAGATCTCTCCAAAGTACGATTTATTGATAATATTATATCAATTCATTACCTCAGAACGAAATTATTTTAGTTAGCTTCGTTAATGCATTCATTATTTTATTAACGAAGTACCGCAGTGCTATATAAATACGTTTCGAGTTTTATGCGGTACATCTGCAGTGATCAGTGATGTTAACAAGTGCTATCTTCTCGATTGTCGCCTGTTCATTGCCTTTAATATGCATGTATCAAGCTGAACTGAATAAATAAGACATGGAAAGAAAAAAGCGATTTCCCGCAGCTTTATCGAGAAATTAGATCTTACGCATGGTGTAAATGATAAGCGTAATTTAATATCAATCAGCAATGTCAGTGTATTATTAATAGTACTTGATTGCTGCAATATCAAAGTTCACGGGATTTTGCAACAGGCATTGATTAATTCATTCTAGCATTTCTGTGAATGTGTTAATGAATCCGAGCATGCAAGAACGCAAACACAGATGCATCATTAAGGGAACTACCAATTAATGTTAAGTGCCTTTCAATGAGCACCCAATTATATGTTAAAATTACTTTTCATTTACAGAAAATGTCACCTGGCTAGTTTCTTCTTTTCATTCTTCTATCTACTGTTCCTATTTCGATTAGGGACATATATTGGTCTACCAGAATCACCATCCCACACAAATCTTCTGCTTATGATATTAACACTGAAATTATCTGGGCTAGCCTTTGAAGTAAATGCAGCTGCCAGTCAACCATCTGATGATCCAGAAGGTGTAAATTCTGATGCATTGAAAAATGTAGGAGTTCTAGATGTGTTTCACTACGGCTTTAGCTACATGGGAATCTTGACTGGTAAATTTGTTCCAATTACTTCAATCAACAATTGGATCTTTACATTATATTATATTAAGTACAACGTATTTCTCTTTTATAGGTCCCTATTATCGTTATAGAACATATTGGGATCATTTGCATAGACCATTTTCTAAATATGTGGATCCTAAGCCTCTTACATACTCCAAGCTCAAACAAGTTGCAGCATTTATTGTGTTATATCTTATGATGAACGCGAGTTATCCTACAAGAGTAATATTAACTAAAATTATTTTAACAACCAAGCTGAACAAAGTTGTCAATTTTCTAATCTGTGCATTTTCAATTCTAGTATGTCACCACAGATGCATTCGCAGAGAGAAGTTTTCTTTTCAGATACTTCTACATGTATCCTACATTTTTCTCTTTCAAATTAAGAATGTACATTGGTATGTCCTTAGCAGAATGCGCTTGCCAAATGGCTGGGCTTGGAGCATATCCCGTGAAGGCCAATCCTGTTATAGGACTAGGGCCTCGAGATTACAAAGCCATTGAAACTATGTAAAGTTTCCTTTCCATTTTATCATCCTACAGCAACAGGAGAAACTAACTAAGTAAATTCCATAGGACACACAATGCACCCGGGGAGTTGAAAGATGAAGAATATAATTTCGATACTGTGTACAATATGAATGTCGCAAAATTGGAAACATGTCACTTGACAAGGACTGCTATGAAATCATGGAATGCTTGTATCCAATACTGGATGGGTGTTTATATATACAAAAGATTCCCGTATAAAAATTTACGGACCTTAGCCACGTTCACGCTATCGGCTGCTTGGCACGGTTGGCAAGCCGGTTACTACTTCTGCATGTGTCAAATTCCTTTATTCTTGATGAGCGAGGATATAGGAGTAAAGTTCTATAATCAAAGCAAGGAGGGAAGTTTGGTGAGTACTGACTAATCTCTCAGTCTACAGATTTCTTCTTTTTTTCAATAATGAATCAACAGTTAAACAACAGCTACGCATGGATGAAAAAACGATGTGTACTTTTATTCTTACAGGCTAGAATGGGTTGGCGCCTACTTTTGTGGTACGAGAAAACAACCTGCATGGCATATTTAGGTGTGCCATTCCTATTGTTAGGGATGGAAGAGTCGCTACAATATTACAAAAGCATATATTTTGCGGGTCATATTTTAGCAATTGTACTGTACGTAAGCTTCCGCTTTTTAAAACCCTATATATTAAAACCCATAGAAAATAAGGCCAAGGACAACTAGTCTGCTACGCTAGTATGGAATATATTTAAAATTGCATGTACTTATTTCCTCAGTAATTCGATCTGTCTTCTCTCTAAGATAGCTTCTAGCAATAGAGTTTTTTTTTAAGTACCAACTTTTTACGAATTCTAGTAGCATATTATTAACGCCAAGTTAATAATATATGATTATGTTACAAAATACGTATGTATTACATACTTTAATATTGTGATTGAGCTAGTCAGTCAGTAATGATACCAAGTACATTATTCTGACTTAACGCACTTCCATAGCTGTTATTAAAATTAACAAATTAAATTGAAAAGAAAAGAGAAATAATCTCGGATATGACGAAGGTTTCTATTCTTCCATTTGTAATGATGAGTAAAGTCAGAAATAATAAAGAATTCCATTTGTTTAATACGGTAATCTTTATTGATTTTATCCTCCACGTGTCTACAATGCCTCACTCCTCTCCTCTAAGAAAAGAAATTAAATCATCTGTATATTCCAACATCACTTTACCTCTAAAAATACTTACTCTAGTGACGTACGTTGGCACCTGAAAAAAAGAACACAGGAAAAGCAAAAAGGATTCCATCCCCTACCCTTGACTCTCCCAATTACTTCGAAAATGTGGCGGCAAGTGTTTCAAGCGATGATCACAAAATTTAAATCTTTACAAACTCTACACTTTCCCGATGAAAATCTTAAACAGTCGCGACAAGAAGTACATGTGTATATATATATTTTTTATATACTTTTTTAAATATATATATACACATTAAAAGATACTAAAGTGAAAAGAAAATAATAAAATGGCAAATAAAATATTAAGTATCTCGAAGGGATCGAATTTGAATGGAAAATAAGAACTTGTACTTCAAAATGGTATTCTCAAGGGGGTCATTTTCATTTAAGCAATTGAACAATCTATCTTTTCTGAAGCAGAAATCCAAGTGGGGAGGATTTTCATTAACTTTTGCAATACACAATTAAGTTAACATCTATGCGTGGACCTCTATCCAACTGTTTTCTACAAATCTCAAAAGAAATTGCCTGATAACTCATGTCTTTACCGGTTGTATAAATACCCCCTTAAGTAATACCACAGACAGTCCACCCGCACAACTTACAAAATTGAACCTACACCGCTGAAAAGAAATTACGTCCTCTAATCAACACCATTGCTGGAAGTGATCGTCAAGAAACACGCGGAGTATATCTGGCAGACGTAACACAGTTGAAATTGTGAGTCGTTGCTCGCGAGGTCTGGTGATGCTCACGTGCTACCTGCGAACCGGACGACGGCCGAAACCAGCAATCGCGGCAGCTTTGGTTGTACCCTCTGCTTATTTCTCTGCGCTCTCGACCGTACCCTCTGCGATTTTCTGCACACGCCGACCCCCCAGAGAGACAGCTTTCGCTCACACACTTTCTCTCTTTTTCTCGCCCTGATCTCGACTCGCGAACCTGCTTTCACCAGACCACCAACCGCTCGCTACTGCAAACTGCTTACAGCCCTGCTACTCTCGGCTTACTGCTTACTCTCAGCTACCCCATCATCGGCTACACTCGCCACGCCACTCCTTTCCACCGCCTGTGGCACCATAAAATTACAACTTAGTTACAACGAATAAACGTGTTATATCCGTGTGTGAGGATTTTTAATATTTTTCTTTTTCTTCTTTTTTTTTCTTTTTTTTTGGTTGGAAGGATATTGACGAACAAACGGTTTTACGTGAATGAAACCAATAATGAACGATGCTATCAAATCTATGCAACCCCAAGGACTACTTTAACACGGTGATGAATTGATACTATACATGGTACCCTAGGTTTCAATGTTCAAACTTTGTCAGTATATTCTATGGCACTACGTAAGAAAAAAATGTTATGTAAACGTAGGTCACATAGAGCTTTATTAAAAAGTTAGAACAAAAATATGGAATACAATTAACATTGACGTATTAACCGACTTGCTATTATTGCGAGCAGTGACTTAAATAGGTCAGTAATATTTATATACAATGTGCTTTCGTTAGCTATATTAATGAATAGATACAAAAAATGTATAATGCATTCACAGCGAAATGAAACACAATGGATAATTAGGCAATTATAAATTCGATCTTGAACTGCTGTCGCTCATACATTGTCAAGAAAGCTAAATATTTTGAAATGCAGCATTAATTAACCCTAGCAGTGACATTGTTAAGTAATAAACACATGGATCTATTTAAGTCAATGTTCCCAGTAACAGCAAGTCGGTTACTATTCCTATATTACTCGTATTCCGTATTTCTGTTATAACTTTTTAATAAAGCTCTATGTGGCCTATGTTTGCAGAACATGTTTTTCTTATTTAGTGCCATAGAATATACTGATAAAGTTTAAATATTAAAACCTGAGACACCATGTATATTTCTTTAAATTCACAATATTCATTGCGAACTTTTTGCTATGACTTCTCTTCTTGTTAAAGGAAGAGCAAAAAATTAGGAAGAGAGCTGTTCTGTATTTATACACTTTACATAATGTCGAAGTATCGATTGATGATTGATGAAACTTAATCTCGTTCTCAAGATTCAACTAACTGACGTGAAAATTAAGTTTCCAGCCGATAGAATTAAATAGGTAACACAAAATGATTTGATCATGTTTTCTGTTGCATTCCCTACGATTACGCTTAACTTTTAATCACTGTCTAAAACTATGCGAATAGTTCCGTCTTCCGCATTTTATTACACTTTATTATAAATGGCAAACTTACATAAATAAACCTGTATACTATTACAGAAACGCAGAACTTACTTCTAAAAATCGTGTGTACCAGAACTTCTAGTTTCTTTTCTTTCTGTTAGCTAATTAAAGTCGATCAAGTTTCAACGACAGATAATAGAAAATTCAGGCAACGATTATGTGATTTAAGGGTTCAGTCTAAAATTTGTACAGAAACCGGACTTAATCGACCACATACGTTCTACATTACCTGCTAATTACCATTATACATCAATACCCCGATGAAATTCCAGAGATATCTAAATCCATGTTGCCCGGTTCGAACAATTTCATACTGACGGAAAAAAAAACAATTTTCGCTATGGACATATTTGACCTAAATAGTTGTTTTCCTGTGCAGTTACTTATACACGCCGACACGGCTTAAAGTAGTTATAACAAAATTGAAGAAAATGGAAGAAAATGGAAGAAAATGAATAAACTTGCGTTATAACTCACTTACTCGACAATCTTATAACTCGACAAGTACTAGATGTTGTGCACACTATACTTCAACGAAAAGTAAAAAATCATGTACGCTCGAACTGACAACAATTCTTCCGTTTTATTTATTCACAGAGTGCAAAATCAATTATTTCGTCTGTTCTAATTTTAAAGATTGTTCGAACATCAAATATATAGTGCTAGTGCACGTCTCTAAAACTCTTATCAAAGACACAATGAAACTTGAATTCAATGGTTTGAACACAAGCTGTTTCAGTTGTTACAACAGCTTAACCATACATAGAAAAAAATAGGAATACATGTACTTCTCTCTGAGCAAAATAAGCATGTGACAGTGTTACCTAACGAAGTAAGAATAATTACGAGAAAAAAAAACTTGCAAACGAGAACCTTCAAGAGTCCTTTAAACTCATAGTCTAGATACATTACATTAAAATTAGTTATGGGTTTCAACCCAAACAAGTGCGTCGACATAATTAATATGTAAGTGATAGAAGAAATGTGAACGTGCGACAGTGTTGCTCTAGGTATTAGAGGGTAATAGAATACCTTTTCATTCTCAAGAAATGATTATTCTGCACTCGCGGCACGTGCATCTGTTCACAGTCGTACTCGCTTATGGTTCAATTACTTCAGTCCCTGTATTAAGAAAGGAAATGTGTTATATATTAAAGTACTCCTTCAATATGTCTAAAATTACAACTAAAATATATTCCACTTTATAATTATTCGTATAATACTTTACATACCTTGATTTGGAACGACTGTCTTTTTGTCTGTCAGGAGACTTGCTCCTGGAACGAGACTTTCCTCGAGAGCTCTTACTGTCGGAACGTGAGCGACTTCTACTACGACTATAAGATCGTCTTCGGTCTCTATCGCGGCTTCTAGACCTGCTGCGTGATCTGGACCTTGAGCGTCTACGGTCCCTGCTCCTGCTGCGTGATCTAGGAACAATATAAAACACACTTATATAGTAATGCACTAATACAGTAATAAATTACAATCATTCTAAACAATATTTATAACAATAATATACATTATATTAATATATTAATAATAATCACCTTCCTCTTCGTCGGCTGCCGCGACTACGATGTGGAGAAGTCGGTCGTCCATATCGTGCCATTTGAACCCTAAGTTCCCTACCATCTAACAGTCTTCCATCCATAGCGTCTAATGCATCTTCCGCGTCTCGTTTGTCATAGAATCTGAAAAGCCACACACGTAAAAGTTCGATTCTTCAACGAACCAAGAACAAGCCGCAATATAGGCAACAGATAGATGTAACATTTGTTAGCACCCAAGCTACAATGATACAGTTATTCGAAGAGCGTGCTTATGCGACGCTCGTTAATTGCTTTTAAAAAATACCAAAAATTGATTCTCCGGTTACCTGACGAACGCAAATCCACGGCTCTCCCGAGTGAAACGGTCCCTGGGTATGTAAATGTCGCCAACTTCGCCACATCGCTCGAACACGCGTCTTAGATCCTCCGGCGTCGTTCTGTAGGTGAGATTGTCCACTTTCAGGGACACCATCCCATCAATTCGAGGCGGGGGCCTGCCGTAACTCATTTCGGCGAGATTCCCGAACTCGTTTCGAGAGATAAAATTAACACTTTAACCGGAAAAATCAGTTTCCAATTAAGTGGAACACGTCTACACACGTCAAAGAGAAGATGGCGAATAACGGAAGAACGACGTCTGTGCGCAGAACGCCGGGATATGACGTAAATGATACTTCCTACTACGTGACTCGAATTCCGTTCCGTACGAAACGCTTCGCTTTGTTTCCAACTGGAAATATTTATTTTTACTCGCTCGGGAAACGATGGTTATTCGAATAAATAATTATTAATCGATTTCCTATTTTTATTATAACCTAGAAGGAAGTCAACGAATACTGACATTCGTTTTTCCGTAGCAAAATACTTTCCACGTAAACGGCACGAATAAAACGTATTTTAATACGCCCCGTAAGATTAGAATTTCTATCGTTTTCTACAGATTCATATTGATTAGTAAGAAGATAAATTTTATATTATTGCGCGTTACATTCGTTCCGTTCGTGACGTGAAACGACTCGCGTAGTCCACTTCCGGTCAATCTGAAATTTGAACGCGCGGCGCACAACGGAAACGTATTGATATTACGATATCCCCGTTTCACAGACGAGATTCGTAAAAGTACTCGTCGTGAAGGAAACAAAGACTATCGAAATGAAAAATTATTCTATGAAAAAGAAAACTGCAATTTATCATGGGGCGTACAATTCCTCTCAACGAAATCGGTACCGGAACCGTTGTACACGCGATCGTTTCGAGAACATTAATCAATCAAACAAATTCATTTTCAACCGTATTATTTACAAATAATACAAAGTACAATAAAAAAAAAAGAAACA